TCTACTGTTGTGGATTCTCTATATCTCTGCTCCTATTGTAATAATAACTAGTATTTATATAGCGCCTTTCTCCCAGTGGGACTCAAAGTGATTTTCAGCGCACCAAATGGGCAGCTGAATAGTAATGGATGTTATTATTACCTAATTGACCCATTGAACTTGTGACTTTGCATTTTTGGCATTGTAGTTAAGGAATTTACTGAGCTACCTCCCCGGCATTCCTCTTAAGAAGGGGAGAAATGTTTCATTCCAGGTCATCTCCTGTTTATAAAACTTTTCTCGCTATAATCTATTTGTCAGTAGAATCCTACCATAACTATGTTTATTTATTTTGTCCCACAGGGGTGTTTGTCTTGATCAATAGTTTTATTCCTCGTGTCTGAATGTTCTTTTGTCTTTATACCTTTCCTTATTGAGTTATTCTCTCAGTGACAATATCTTCAATTATCCATTTTATACTTGGTGTTATTTTTAATCTGCCTGATCACTAAATTAATTTGAGCATACTCACAATAAAGGAGGGAGTGGGAAGCTGTATTTGCTTTTAAAAAGTTTTATTTTGTTCACTGCCGATAAAGTATATAGTAACCTTAATATCGATCCTGTGGATTTATAACATGACCTGCTCTTCTCTTCCTCCGTGACGCTTGCTGGAGCCTGCGTGTTCTGAGCAGTATATCTGTTCCCCTTTCCTTTATCCCTGATTTACAATATATATGTTTTTCCTGCTATGCACATTACAGTGGATTCCTATAGATTATGATAATGAGGTATAATGTGTGTTTCGTATATCAGATTTCTTTAAAATATAGAGTGCGCTTTATTTATAACACTATTTGCTGAATACGCACCACACATACCATAGAGCAAGGGTGCTCAAACGATAGATCCCTAGATGTTGTAGAACTTCAACTCCCATGATGCTTTGCGTGCCTTTGCATGCCTTTAAAATGACAATACATCATGGAAGCTGTAGTTTTAAAACATCTGGGGATCCACCTTTTGGGCAGCCCTGCTATAGAGATATGTATTTATGTTATGTATTTAAAGGCGCAGATCACCTTATTGTATTGTCTTTAATAATATAAACCAAACCAGCACAGAGCTGACTATGTGTTTACGATTACAGTGGGACCTCGGTTTACGAATTTAATGCGTTCTCCGGGACGTTTCTTATTTCGAAAAATTTGTAAACTGAAACATGGTCTCCTATAGGAATACACTGAAAATCAATTAATCTGTTCTGGTGGTCAGAAAATGGACAGTGCGTTATCCCAGCAGGCAGCCAATCAGGACGGCCTATATGTTGAGCGTTGCCGAAATACCAGCATTGGGGCTTGAATGCTCTGAAACCCATTAGTGTAATTCAAGTTACACTTTGTCTCAGGAAAATTGCTGTCACACAGAACAGACGAGTGAATTCACCTGCCTCCGTCATGCAACAATCAGGCAACATGCAGGGTAGACAGCACTGTGTAGCTTCCTGTTTTTTTTTTTATTATTTCACCAATTTATATCTTTAGATTCTGGCAATCCCGAGGAAAATAACGTGAGACATTGCTCTCAAAATGAACTTGAAGCTGCACGCTGCACTGTGTCTACTCCTTCTAACAGGTAAGAGCAGAGAGCATCCCATGGTATAATCTGGAGTTTAAATATACTGAGAACGATATCGAGAATTATATGTCATGTCCAGGCTAAAAAAACACCAAGGGTTGGTTAACACTGCTACAAATGGGCGGTACCCATCCCGGCAGTAATTAAGCTCCATAGTATTTGGGGCAAAGCCAGGTGGCTAGTGATACTTTATGCGCAGAGATTCCTTCAGCGACAGCAATTCCAAATCCTGAACCTCAAGGGCAACTCTCATAAGTTCCCCTGGATGAGAATGAGGGAACCAAAATACTTGTTTTCTCTGCCCCATCGCAGACCTTGCTGGGGTTATTTGCAGTTCTGAAGAACATGTGGGGAGACCAACTCATCCAGTTGTACTCAACCCCCATTGAAAATCAGGTTTATTGTCAAAATGTACAGACACTGAGTTGTTTGTAACAAACAAATCAAACAAAAGCTATTGAAATAGTTCAACACAGTGAATGCTTCAAGTGGTTTCCCCAAACTCAACTGAAAATGCAACTTACAATGACTTCTCCAATTTCAAAATGATTCAACCCCTTAATGGCAAGCACCTTTAGTAGTTAGTAGATGTGATGTAGCGAGACCTGACTGTAACGGATCACCTGGCACCCAGACTGGGTACCTCCGTTGAAGGATGCTCCTAGCGCTTCCTGAGGACTCCAAGCACTGCAGCAGACACCAAAACCACCGAACCGGAGAAACAAATAAATTCTCCCAAGCATATGAATGCTGTAGACAGTTGAATAGGAACCATACGAATAGGTTTACTCTCCTAGCAGTCAAACTGGAACAGCATACAATAAATCCTTCCCCCAATAATGAGACGACACTTCACTTTGAGGGTTAAAACAGGAACTCCCTGTACTGTCACATACAGTCTCTTTTATTCCCAATCCACAAACATAGTACAGCCCACAGGGCGTTACAAAACAACCAATCAATCCGTACAATACACCCAGACACTCCCACACAAAATCCTCCCCTCTGCCTGTGATAAGATTACTGAACACAATGGGTAATCTCATTATCACCGGCAGAGGAATACAGTTTTTACACAATATTTATAACTTCTAAAATATACATGTCACAAACATAAAACATACATTTTCATAATCAATCCATTCAGGGGAACAACATATTAAAAAATGGCACGAATCAGACCAGGGGTTCAAAAGTTAAGGGAAAGTCCTTTGTGACTAAATAAAGCATGGCTTTCCGGCCCAAACCAGTTTCAGAGTCTTCTATCCTGGAGATAAGTGAGAAGTAATTCAATTATCTCCCAGGACAGACACAAGACTCCATTATGCACATGGTGAGCACAAAGCATTAAAATATTATAAAATACACAAAGTCACATTTTATACATAAAACACAGACATGTCACATATCCCCAGATATCTGGGATCTCAGCGCACAAAACTACAGAATAGCGCTCAGATCCTATTCACACAGTTCAATTGCCATGGAGCCGAAGTCTTTAACTACACGAATGGGCTCCATGGCAAAGCTATCTGGGTTAACACATTCACATAAAGTCTGGTCCATAGTCCAAAGGCAAGAGGCGGGCAAGCAGCCCCCTCCAAGGACACGTGGCGAGGCCGGTTTCGCCACACTGAGTAACCCGGCTGGTTACCCCAGCTATTAATGTATTACAAGACCCATTTCCCCCCCAGTATTTGGACGACACACTGTTCCAGGGGTACAATGATTGACAATCTTCATTTGGGCACACAGCTTTTTATGCATCCAATACAACACAATCCCAGGCAGGAGGGGGCTGGGTTGCAGATAAACATCTCCCGCTTCCATACAGGTGGGGTAAACTTTGGAGCTCGGTGCCCCAGGAAGGGAAGGGGTCATACAGGTAAAACATATATCGTTAGATAGCCCCGGGTCCCATCTGGGATCCCTGTAAATAGCGGGGCTATTGGGTATACAGAGCCCGGGATACCAGCGTATCCTGGGTCTCGAGGCTCTGTACATCCCCAAAATCAGTTCCACAGTGTTGCTTGGTTTGGTCCAGTGAATTCAAACTTTGCGCCCAAACCAAGCAACAGCCAATCAGTGTCCGGGGGGGAACAGGGGTTTAGTCACCCAATTAGAAGAAAAGGTGCGAAACCTACAATGATTGACAATCTTTATTTGGGCACACAGCTTTTTATGCATCCAATACAACACAATCCCAGCTAGGAGGGGGCTGGGTTGCAGATAAACATCTCCCGCTTCCATACAGGTGGGGTAAACTTTGGGGCTCGGTGCCCCAGGAAGGGAAGGGGTCATACAGGTAAAACATATATCGTTAGATAGCCCCGGGTCCCATCTGGGATCCCTGTAAATAGCGGGGCTATTGGGTATACAGAGCCCGGGATACCAGCTTATCCTGGGTCTCGAGGCTCTGTACATCCCCGAAATCAGTTCCACAGTGTTGCTTGGTTTGGTCCAGTGAATTCAAACTTTGCGCCCAAACCAAGCAACAGCCAATCAGTGTCCGGGGGGGAACAGGGGTTTAGTCACCCAATTAGAAGAAAAGGTGCGAAACCTGATTGCACCAATCTGCTGTGAGGCGCAAAACCAATTTGCGCCAATCAGGGCTCAGGGAGGAAAGGGGGTTCACCGCCCAATTAGGAGAAAGGGTGCAAAACCCTGTTCGATCAGGCGCTCCTGCTCTGATTGGGCGCCGGCTCCTTACAGCGACCAATCACTGCTCCCTCGGGCCAACCAACCAGTAGAATGGGGCAAACCCGGTTTGAATGCGTGCTTCTCCCATTGGTCGGCACAGACTTCCACGCGGCCACTCGTTTCCCTTGCAGTCTATGGTTTTCTAACTAAACATTCTAAATGGGATATCAGGGTGGTCCGGCTCATGGGGCTCCATGCACTTGAACGCCCCAGTGTGGTTAAAAAGCAATTTGCAGGATTCAATGTGAAAATTACAGAGAGGGGAGAAATACACAAGGGAAAACATACATTCCAGGAGAGTACATCCACACATAGGAAAGGGTAATTCGCAGTCAGGCAGTGGTCCTGCCACAATTTTCACCCAGCCTGTGAACCAAACAGTGGTAAAATGTGCCTATCAGCATACAGTGTAGTTATATTATGTATCTATTTTGCAGGACAATCATTTGCCCATTTTAGATTGTCTGAATGTTTTTCCAAATATTTGTCTAGGGGCGATAACCAGACAGCCCAAACTATAACTGACAAATAAAGAAACATCGGACATCTAAAACAAAATTACAGTTTCGATTTCTTATTTTTTTTCTCACTGTGTCAATGTCTATTATTATGCCCTGCCATAGTCTGACCACATTATCCTTTCACTCCCAGGAGCAGCGTTATGTACTGAGACAACCAGCTCAATGCCAGACTCCGGTACAGAGACATCAGGTAATTGTGGTCAAAGCCAGACATAGCAGGGCTCCCCGTGGGTGGGGTCGGAGACATGTTTACCATAAATTATACATTGTTTTTAGTTACCGCAGGAGAAAAGTGGCTGATTATTAAGAATGAGCATTGTTTATTTCCTCGCAAGTCATGTTTCTTCACTAATTTCTTTAACACTTTAAATTGCAAGAATGTGTCAAACCTATTCCTTTATAAAGCACTGGACCCATCCTTGGTGCTGTGTGACTGGTTGACAACTATTATCTCTAAACACCAAGTAAATCCCCGTTGGTGTTGCTGGTTCTGTTCATTCCTCTGCTTAAAAGGGATATATATATTTCTGTTAGAGGATTCTTAAATCTATTGCAGGCCTAGTTACTATTCATTAAACACAAAATTATCTGATTTGTAAAAGTTCTCCAACTGAGCTGTAGAATTGGGTATTTTAACCTTGTTATTTAATTTGGTTTTCAGTTTAACACAATTTGTTGTACATCAATAGCTCTGCACTCTGAGTAATGCTTAGCTCCTACCGTCTCTGTCTGTATCACCATGGCGTGTGATACTGATATAACAGCCGTAACGGTATGACCCAAAACGCCGATATAGCAGCAGTGATGCCATGACCTGAGATGCTGATATAGCAGCAGTAATGCTATGACCCAAGACACTGATATAGCGGCAGTAATGCTATGACCTGAGACACCGATATAACAGCAGTAATGTTATGACCCAAGACACCGATATAGCGGCAGAAATGCTTTGACCCAAGACATAGATATAGTAGTAGTAATACTTTGACCCAAGACACCGATATAGCGGCAGTAATGCTATGACCTGAGACACCGATATAGCGGCAGTAATGCTATGACCTGAGACACCGATATAGCGGCAGTAATGCTATGACCTGAGACACCGATATAGTGGCAGTAATGCTATGACCCAAGACACCGATATAGCGGCAGTAATGCAGTGACCCAAGACATAGATATAGTAGTAGTAATACTTTGACCCAAGACACTGATATAGCAGCAGTAATGCTATGACCCAAAACAATTGTATAGTAGCAGTAATGCTATGGCCCGAGACACCGATATGACAGCAGTAATGCTATGACCCAAGACACCGATATAGCAGCAGTAATGCTATGACCCAAAACGCCGATATAGCAGCAGTGATGCCATGACCTAAGATGCTGATATAGCAGCAGTGATGCCATGACCTGAGATGCTGATAGAGCAGCAGTAATGCTATGACCTGAGACACCGATATAGCGGCAGTAATGCTATGACCCAAAACAATTGTATAGTAGCAGTAATGCTATGGCCCGAGACACCGATATGACAGCAGTAATGCTATGACCCAAGACATCGATATAGCAGCAGTAATGCTATGACCCAAAACACCGATATGACAGTAGTAATGCTATGACCCAAGACACCGATATAGCGGCAGTAATGCAGTGACCCAAGACACCGATATAGTAGCAGTAATACTTTAACCCAAGACACTGAAATAGCAGCAGTAAGGCTATGACCCGAGACAAAAATATAGCAGCAGTAATGCTATGACCCAAGACACCGATATAGCAGCAGTAATGCTATGACCCAAGACACCGATATAGCAGCAGTAATGCTATGACCCAAGACACTGATACTGCAGAAGTAATAATATGACCAAGACACAGATATAGCAGCAGTAATGCTATAACCCAAGACAATGATATGGCAGCAGTAATGGAATGACCCAGGACACAGATATAGCAGCGGTAATGCTATGACCCAATACACCGATATAGCAGCAGTAATGCTATGACCCAAGACACCGATATAGCAGCAGTAATGGTATGACCCAAGACACTGATATTGCAGAAGTAATAATATGACCAAGACACAGATATAGCAGCAGTAATGGTATGACTCAAGACACCAATGGTCTCATGACACAGGTAGTGATGTCACAGTGGGAAAAAAATACTTTTACAATTCTTCTATTTTGTCCTAAATCTAGTCATTTTATTTTCATTTTAATGTCTGTTACATAGCTATTATGTTACTCAGTGTCACAGAAAGACATCAGATTTTCACATTTAGAAATTAAGGTCTCAGATTAAGACAATGGCCCTGGTAATGCTTTAGCAAGAAAGGCATGTTTACTCCTGTGTGATTTTATGGATGTACTAATAATATAACTGTGTTTCAGGTCCAACAACATCACCTAACGTAACATCTAGAAATGAGATCACACTTGTAAGGAATCCTAGTGAGGAACAACAGACCTCAATAAGTAGTAGTATAGTAGAGACTATAACTCAACACACATTAGGACCAACCACATTGGTCACATCAACCATTACCTCAACAGTAGGAAACACGGCTAGACCTATCACCACTTCTACACCGGGACCCATTGCTGAATCTAAAGACACTTCTACACCAGTATCTACTGCTCAGTCTAGAACCGCATCTACACCAGGATCCACTGCTCAATCTCAAATCACTTCTACACCAGGATCCACTGCTCAATCTCAAACCACTTCTCCACAGGGATCCAGTGCTGAATCTAAAGCCACTTCTACACCAGAATTCATAGATGAACCTCAAACCACTTCTACAACAGGGTCCAGTTCTGAATCTCAAACCAGTTCTACAGATGGAACCAATGCTGAATCTAAAGCCACTTCAACAAAAGGATTTCATGTTACACCAATTGCTACTACTACACCATTGCCCAGAGATGAATCTAACATTACTTCTACACCAGGATCCAGTGATACATCCATCACCACTTCTACACCAGGATTAAGTTCTGAATCTCAAACCACTTCTACATCAGGGTCCATTGCTGAATCTAAAACCACTTTTACACCAAGATCCAGTGCTAACTCTATTTTCACGTCATTACCAGGATACAGTGCTGAATCTATTACCACTTCTACACTAGGATTCAGTGTTACACTTAATGCTACATCTACACTAGGACCTAGTATTGAATCTAATATCATGTCTACACCAAAATCCAATGCGGAATCTAGCAACACTTATACACCAGGATACAGTGAGACCTCTATCACCTCTTCAACACCAGGATCCAGTGCGGAATCTAACAACACTTCTACACAAGGATACAGTGAGACCTCTATCACCTCTTCTACATCAGGATCCAGTGATACATCAAATATTATTTCTACAGTAGAACTCAGTTCTACACCCATCACCTCTTCTAAAGCAGGATCCAGGACTAAATCTAAAACCACTTTTAAACCAGGACCCAGTACTAAACCCATCACTATTTCTACACCAGGATCCAGTGCAGAATCGAATATCACTTTTACAATGGGACCAAGTGCTGAATCTAACATTACTTCTTTACCAGGACAAGGAGCTACATCTGGCATCACTACTACACCAGTGCCCGATGCTGATTCCAAAACCAATTTTACACCAGGATCCAGCGTTAGATCCATCACCACTTCTACATCAGTATCCAGTGTTAGACCCCTCACCATTTCTACACCAGGATCCAGTTCTAGACCCTTCACCACTTCTACACCAGGATTTGGTACTGAAGTACACAACCCTGAATCTCCTATCACTACTACATCTAGTCTCAGTGCTCAGTACACCATCATGTCTACACATACATCCAGTGCTCAATTTATTACCACCACTGGACCTTCCTCTTCTTCTACGTCAGGACCCAGCCACGGCACAGAGCCTAGAACTTATAGACCTTATGCTGAATCTACTACCACCTCTGTACTTAGAGTCAGTGCTAAACCTGTCACCGCTTCTACACCTAGACCAGATAATAAATTTACGGCTATTCTTATACATGCATCCAAAACGCAATCTGCAACAACTTCTAATCCTTCACCCAGTGCTGAATCAAATTCCAGTCGGAAACCTAGCACTTCTTTATCTGCAACTAGTACTGATCATATCACCATGTCTTCAAGCACACCAAGCACTGAATTTGCCACCACATTTAGATCTAGATCCAGTGCTCGATCTACCACCACTTCTATATCTACACCAAGTGCTGAAAATATTGCCACCTATAGACCTAGTCGAAGTGCTAAACCTACCTCCATTTCTACCCTTGGACACAACACTGCACCTACCACCAGCAAACCATTTCCACAGACAAACTTGAGAGGTTCTTTGATTTTTAAAATTGTTAACAAAAACTTTACTGATGAACTAAATAATTCTTCCACCAAAGAATTCAAGAATCTTTCAGCAAATATCTCGGAAAATGTGAGTAAATTATGTATTTCTTGTTTTAATGCCATCATTTTTTATTTTTTAAATAAATCCAACCGCTCTTTTTTTTCTTTCTAATTTAACATAGTGCAAACACAACTACGGATTACAGTGGAATAGTTGGTGGGGTTAATCTCACGTGAAAATTTCTGAGGATTTATTTCCTGGCTTAAAGCTAATGATGGAGTGTTCATGAGCCTGACTTTCTAAAATTTACTCAGATTGTGTAAACTAAAGGTTATAAATAAATTGTGAGGATTTTAAAAGTGTGATGCAACATTCTACAATGTTCAAAATTGAGAAAATAAATTCTCATCTTTGCCATTTTACCCTCAGTTTTGCAATTCAGTTTACCATTTACGAGCATTCACTGCTTTGCTAAAATAAACCCATTATTAACTCACTCGGGCATATTCAGCAAATAAAGTATTGTGGAATGTTAGAAGTCCAGACTAAAAAGAGAAAGGGATATGGGGCACACCACATTCCTAGTGGTGGCACTGCAGTAAAGACTGGAATCTAAATTTATACAAAAACAAAATCAGAAAAAAGTAAAAAATCAGAATAGGAATGCAAAATTAAAGAATTTTTCATTATATATATTTACAATGCTCCTACAACAGTTTATTTAAATACACTGTGGCGGTCACCCCGAGACTTTTCCCCTAGTGTGGGTAGCTCTGCAGTATTCCCAAGTCAATCTCCAAGCAGGCAATAGAGCCAGTATAGCTGTACTGCTCTTATAAGAGCTAGTAGTTATAGCAGGTATAGCTGTTACCTACAATCACAAGACAAGGCTGCGTGTTGAGGGTGAAGTGAACTGAATTTAATGGGATCACACTTGGCCTTTTATGACAGTCCCCATGCAAGGGGCACTCCCCCCGGACCTGAGAGTAAACCACAGAAGAAATACACAATCTCATTGGCTCTCAAATCCAGGACACTCCCATACAAACTAAGTCAATACCTCCTCTGGGAGATAATTGTACTTGAGTACTTAACTCAATTATTTACAGACACAAAAACACAGATTTTTATAAAACCCCCAAAATACCTTTAAAACATACAAACCCCTCACAGTTATATCCCCTGTTAGCCCCGATCTGGGTGAACAACATATCCAAAAGTCACCCAGATTGGTTCAGGGGTTCAGGAATTTCCTGGAAGTCATAGTTTTGGCCGACCGCACGCATGGTCCCATACCCAAAACAGTTCCATACAATCGTGTTTAAGTGTCACTGGGGACCTACCGGAAACCGTGAAGTCTTCCTGCCGAAAACAGTGCCATAGAATCACGGCTAAGTGCCGCTGGGGGACCGACTGGGAACCACAAAGTTTTCATGCCGAAAATAGTTACAGGGCTAAGTCCCCCTGAAGTCTATTTGCGGTTTTGGTCCATGCGAACGGCCACCAGGGAGCTAGCGTTTGGGGATCTGTTACATACACTTTGGTTCATTTAGCTTTAGCACTATTTAATTTGGGATTTAGTGTAGGACCCACCGATATTGGGGTAAGGTGCAGTAGTGGTGGGTTTAACACAATAATGGGGTATGGTTAAACTGAATCCCCATATTTGTTTGCTGAGATAGGTGATTTCAAGTAGCTTTGTAAAATGTGAAACTGTATTTTTATGTTTGCGCTCTTCCTTAATATGTAATAGGTTTAAATATTGAAAACAACAGCAGCACTATTCCTGCAAAATGCATGTTCCGGGTGTACCCCCAGTTTTATATTTTGTGGAAAAATGTTTAATGGGAAGGGAACATGCACAAGGGAGGGAAGACATGGTTGGAGTAAAATGTAGAATGGAGAGAAGGATTTGTGAAGGGAGAAAAGGGAGAGAGGGATATGAGGAAGGGAGAGAAGGATGTGAGGAAGGGAGAGAAGGATGTGTGGAAGGGAGAGAAGAGTGTGAGGAAGGGAGGAAGGAAGAGAAGTATGTGTGAAAGGGAAAGAAGGATATGAGGAAGGGAGAGAAGGATGTGAGGAAGGTAGAGAAGTGTAGCGGAACTGCAATACTAAGATCCAAAATCTCCACTGGGATTCTCTGTGCTGGAAAGGAAGCCCTGTTTAGTAGATATAGCCCATTTACCCAGTAACTGGACGACACATAGTTCTGCGAGTCAACTGAGGTTTATTTGGTCACGCGTGGCTTTTATGCGCAGACCCCTATCTTGGGTCTCCAACAAAATGCAACAGAGGTTTCAATCCCAAGATCCTCTGTGCCTAAGAGATAATGGCGTGAGAAAAAACCTATAATCCAATTATCTTTCAGGTACAGAAAATCCATACAAATTTACAGTACCCCAAAAGTGTCCCCACCATACTCAGGAACCCCACAAAAAGTACATCCCCAGATAGCCCTGATCTGAGTGTATAGCATATCCAAAGATCACTCAGATCGGTTTGGTGGAACGTGAATGCCATCGAAGCAAAGTTTTGACACGCCAGACAAATAGCCCAAAACAGTTCCAGGAGAATAGATGTCCTGGCCAGTTTCTGTTTGTGGGGTTCCTGTGCAAACACCATGCAAGGGAACCTCTTCCTTTCACGATACGAATGCTCTCCCTGATTAGTAGTTCATATCTCCCTAATGTCGTTCTTACAGGTGGTTGGGAAATGTTTTACCAATGTTCGTGCGTGTACCTAGCCGAAATTAGTTCCAGGCATGTGAGGAAGGGAGAGAAGGATGTGTGAAAGGGAGAGACGGATGTGAGGAAGGAGAGACGGATGTGAGGAAGGGAGGGAAGGATGTGAGGAAGGGAGAGAAGGATGTGTGGAAGGAGAGAAGAATGTGTAAAGGGAGAGAAGGATGTGAGGAAAAGAGAGAAGGATGTGAGGAAAGGAGAGAAGGATGTGTGGAAGGTAGAGAAGGATGTGTGGAAGGGAGAGAAGGATGTTAGGAAGGGAGAGAAGGATGTGATAAAGGAAAAGAAGGATGTGAGTAATGGAGAGAAGGATGTGTGAAAGGGAGTGAAGGATGTTAGGAAGGGAGAGAAGGATGTGTGAAAGGGAGTGAATGATGTGTGGAAGGGAGATAAGGATGTGAGGAAGGGAGAGAAGGATGTGAGGAAGGAGAGAAGGATGTAAGGAAGGGAGTGAAGGATGTGAGGAAGGGAGAGAAGGATGTGAGGAAGGCAGAGAAGGATGTGAAGATGGGAGAGAAGGATGTGTGGAAAGGAGAGAAGGGTGTGAGGAAGGGAGAGAAGGATGTGAGGAAGGGAGAGAAGGATGTGTGAAAGGGAGTGAAGGATGTGTGGAAGGGAGAGAAGGATGTGAGGAAGGAGAGAAGGATGTGAGGAAGGGAGTGAAGGATGTGAAGATGGGAGAGAAGGACGTGTGGAAAGGAGAGAAGGATGTGAGGAAAGGAGAGAAGGGTGTGAGGAAGGGAGAAAATATGTGAGGAAGGGAGAGGTTAAAATGTGAGTAAGGGAGAGAAGGATGTGAAGATGGGAGAGAAGGATGTGAGGAAGGGAGAGAAGGGTGTGAGGAAGGGAGAGAAGGATGTGAGGAAGGGAGAGAAGGATGTGTGAAAGGGAGTGAAGGATGTGTGGAAGGGAGAGAAGGATGTGAGGAAGGAGAGAAGGATGTGAGGAAGGGAGTGAAGGATGTGAAGATGGGAGAGAAGGACGTGTGGAAAGGAGAGAAGGATGTGAGGAAAGGAGAGAAGGGTGTGAGGAAGGGAGAAAATATGTGAGGAAGGGAGAGGTTAAAATGTGAGTAAGGGAGAGAAGGATGTGAAGATGGGAGAGAAGGATGTGAGGAAGAGAGTGAAGGATGTGTGGAAGGGAGAGAAGGATGTGAAGATGGGAGAGAACGATGTGAGGAAGGGAGAGAAGGATGTGGGGAAGGGCATGAAGGATGTGAGGAAGGGAGAGAAGGATGTGAAGAAGGGAGTGAAGAATGTGAGGAAGGGAGAGAATGATCTGAGGAAGGTAGAGATGGATGTGAGGAAGGGAGAGAAGGATGTGAGGAAGGGAGTGAAGGATGTGAGGAAGGGAGAGAAGGATGTGTGGAAGAGAGAGAAGGATGTGAGGAAGAGAGAAGGATGTTAGGAAGGTAGAGAAGGATGTGAGGAAAGGAGAGAAGGATGTGTGGAAGGTAGAGAATGATGTGAGGAAGGAGAGAAGGATGTGAGGAAGGTAGAGAATGATGTGAGGAAGGGAGAGAAGGATGTGAAGATGGGAGAGAAGGATGTGTGGAAGGGAGAGAAGGATGTGTGGAAGGGAGAGAAGGATGTGAGGAAGGGAAAGAAGGATGTGTGGAAGGGAGAGAAGGATGTGAGGAAGGAGAGAAGGATGTAAAGATGGGAGAGAAGGATGTGAGGCTGTAAATGTTTAATGAAAACGAACAAAACTAATGATAATAAATTAAATCTATTTCTAGCAGTGTGCCAGATTTAACCCTTTTTACCCATAAACGAGAATAGAATCCATTAATATTATTCTTACATAAAAATCTTATTCAGTAATTTAGAGTCTAAAGTGACGCTTGTCTGTGTTTCCAGGTAAGAGATCTGCTGGAAAGGAAATTTAACATATCAAATGTGGAAGTCATTAAATTCAGGTAATAATATCAGTAATTTGAAGTGAAAACAAATGTCTATCAATGAGAAGATGGAGGATCGTAGGAATTGTAGTCAATTTATTGGCATTATGATGACAAAGTAAGGTTGTTCTGGAAATCCTGCATAGTGTTCCTGAGTTCTGAGATCGACTTCATTTCCTAACGGCATGACCGGCCGCGCCAACATTTAATAAACACCCTTTAATATTCCCCTTAATTAATATAAAGAGGGGATTGTTCACTAAACAGTGGGATTGCTACTGATGTAAAATTTTAAGCCAAAAATATCTAAATTGGAAATCAATGCATGCATGTGTTTATCTGCCTATTCTTAATTCATGGTTATTTTCCAGTAATTCACATCTACATTAATTCTTAATTAAATCACTGAGAGTCTCAAAAAACATTTGTTCCATCCTTTTTATGGTGAACAGCGCTGTGGAATATGTTGGCTACAGGTATAATACTAATAACTGAGCAGGCTGTGTCAGCCCTGTGTGCACAAACATCATTAGTTAAACAAACAGACATCAGGAATCCTAGAGTGCATTGCTCATGGGAAAAATGCAAATCTTCTAAGTAAAGAAAACACACACAGCAAGCGCTGGGAGTAGCCTGTTATGCCACGAT